GCTTGTCCTTGGTAGAGGGAACAGATTGATGATGCAGGCAGTTGAATATGTTAGAGATAAACAATTTCACTCCTGACTTGTTCAGGCAAATTCCATTTGCCTTGAAAAGATGTCTGCGATCCCATAAAAAGTTAAAATTGTCAATAAAATGAACAGAATGGTCAGTACAGGCGGTTGAAATCCAGGTGTTCAGTGCAAACAATCTGCTGAATCTCTCCACTCCTCTTCTGACTGGCGGTAGAGGGCCACTGATGAACACCTCTGCATTTAGAGAGCTGGCAGTTTCCAACAAACATTTAAAGTCTTCTTTCAGCACTTCTGACTGTTGTTTCACAACATCATTTGTTCCAATGTGCAGTACCACATTCTTCACAGTCGGATGTTCAGCCCCAATATGCAGGATCTTCTCAGCCAAGTCAGAGACCACATCCTTGGGAAAACAGAGTACTTTGGTGTTGTTCTTATTACACAGACCTTTTACATCTCTTACAGCAGAGTCACCCACAATCAGAGTTTCAGGCCCAGTCGTTAGCTTTCCCTCTAGCCTTTTACTTTTAGAGTAGCTATTGGTCCTTACCCTGCTGCGTGAAGAGGACAGGTTATCCAGGTCATCAGATCTCCGGTTCTCGGTCAGCGGAGCGTATCTGTTCTGGATTGGCACACTTGGTGGTTTAGGAGGATTGTTTGTAATTCTCCCTTTAGCAGCTGTCCACTGCTGTTTCCTAGTATGAATAGGGGTTGAAGAAGCGCTCTTCCTGGGTGATAACAATGCAGGCCAGCCGGTCGCATCACAGATTTCGGAGCTCTGGGCTCTGCCTGTTATCCGTCCTCCCAAATCCCATGGAAATGATTTACTCTTAGGCTTTGCACCCAGAGAGTTCCAGGGAGGACTACCACTTGTAGATGTATTACCCGGTACACAGCCCTCCTGTTCCTTGGAATCCTTGTAGCTGCTAACTAGCTGTGAGTTAGCATACCCTTCTCCATTATTTTGCAACACTGGTAAAGTGGTGTCATTCCCATGACATAGTCCATTCACTTCCACGTTAACTTCCAACCGTTGCATTTTCATTTCCCACACAGTCATCTTCTGTATACGTTTCTGGAAGTCATCTGTAGAGAACGGAGGCATTTTGCTACCAACTAGCTAAATAGCATGCAGTAGCCTACCAGGCTTTAGCTGTTGTTAGGCCACGCTACTGTAAGACTGACGTCGTCGTAAAAATGTTGAAATATGGCTGAAACCCTCCGTCTATTTACGAAGATGAACTGTCCCAGTGATAAGTTAATGTCCAGGAGCCGCTGCTCGAAGTTTTCAGAGAATAAGAATAGGAAAATCAGCATAAAAAGTAAGCAGAGGCAAGAGCAAGCAGAAAAGCGTCTGCACTGTAAGAAAGATAAGCAAGCCAAGGGGAATACTTACTTCCGGGTGTACAATTATCCGTTATCCAATGAGAATGGACGCTCACATTGCCTTTAAGGGGCAGCCGACACAAACGAAAACGTCATTACCAGTAGAAATACATTGCTTTTAAAATCGTGCTGTGCAACACGAAAAAAAGGGGAAAATCGTGTTGGTGAACACGAAATGCCATGAGAGTGGGTTGGACATACTGCCTGCAGTAACAGATGATACTCTTAAAGAAGCTCAAGCAGCAGGGTCCAAAAGTATGGAAGTCAGCTTATGTCTTGCCTTTACTAAAAGGAGGGGAGGCAACTATTTTAAATAACTATAGGCCAATCTCTAAATTGTCAGTTCTGGCGAAGGTGCTCGAACGCCTAGTGAGTGAACAGGTAAAGGAGTTTTTATGTAAAAATGATATCCTGTCTAAACATCAGTCAGGCTTCAGAAAACAACACAGCACCATCACTGCCACAATGAAAGTGGTGAATGACATTACGAGTATTTTAGACAATAAGCAGAGTTGTGCAGCTCTATTTATTGACCTTTCCAAAGCGTTTGATACCGTCGATCATTGCATCTTAAAGCAGAGGCTACTCAGTATCGGCATATCCAGCCATGCAGTGGGTTGGTTTGTGAACTACCTCTCTGAAAGGTCCCAATGTGTTCACTTTGATGGGCTGTCTTCTGAGTGGTTAAACATTGCTAATGGTGTTCCTCAAGGTTCTGTTTTAGGTCCACTTTTATTCTCCATATATATCAACAGTTTAGGTGAAAATGTGGATGATGCTACTTTACATTTATATGCTGATGATACCGTGATGTATTGTGCAGGTCCCTCCATTAAGGAGGCTGGTGTTAAATTACAGGCTGTTTTTAACATTATTCAGACTCAGCTCTCTGAACTTAAGATTATTTTAAATGTTGATAAAAACCAAGGTAATGCTATTTTCAAAAGCTAAAAAGACACCAGAGCCTGTTTTGGATATTGTTACTATGCAAGGACAAGTACTTGAAGTGGTTACCTGTTACACATACCTTGGTATCTGGCTTGATGATTGTCTTACTTTTAAACTTCATGTCAATAACCTGCTTAAAAAGCTGAGGGTTAGACTAGGTTTCTTTTTCAGAAACAAGTCCTGTTTCTCTTTTGAAGCCAGGAAAAGGCTAGTCACTGTGACCTTTTTACCTGTGCTGGACTATGGTGATTTGATTTATATGAATGCACCTGCCTATTGCCTGGAAAAGTTAGATGCCGCCTATCACAGTGCCCTGAGATTTGTTACTAACTATAAAGCACTTACTCATCACTGTACCCTGTATGCCAAGGCAGGTTTGCCTTCACTAACTGTACGGAGGTACATGTTCATTTACAAAGCCATGTTGGGTAAACTACCTTTTTATATCTGCTCTCTGATCTCTCGACGAATTGAAAGTACATATTGCCTGAGATCACATGATGTTGTTTTATTAAATGTGCCAAGTGCTAGGACTGTCTTAGGGAAGAAAACTTTTAGTTGTGCAGCTCCACTAAATTGGAACAGTCTGCAAACATGTTTAAAACTGAGCACTTTGGTTCCCCTGCATCATTTTAAAACTCGGCTGGGTGACATGCTGTTTGATACTCATGAGTAGTAGTAACAATGCCGCTTTCGTCACATTAGTATGCAAGAAAAGTGACAGGTGGTGTGACAGGTCACACCTCTCCCTACTTATGTTAATGAGCTAAGTCCCGCCTCCCATTGTTCGAGGTGGATGTCACACCTAGGTGTGAATTCACACGTAGGTGTGAGATCCTTTGATGTGAGGGGTGAGGTACATCACACGTAGGTGTGAAATGCCCTCCCTGTGTAGTCCCTTTGTTAGAGATCCTTTTGTGTCATGTGAAAAGCCCGGGGCTAGTGCTTTTGTTGTCTAATTCTTTGATGTGTTGATTAAGTCTCTTTGTGTTGTCTGGCCCCTTATCCCCTCAGAGTTGTATAATCTAATTATGAAGTCTAGTCCTTTGACGGGAGGTGTTATAACACACCGGTGTGACTTCACACCGGTGTGTTATAAGCCTCTGATGTTAATTTAGGAGTTGATTAAGTCTCTTTATGCTGTCTGGCCCCCCTGCCCCTCAGAGTTGTATAATTATGAAGTCTAATCTATGAGGTGTTGTAAACCTCTGATGTTAATTTAGGTGTCTCTTGAAGTTAGGTGAGACTGTCTACCAGCCCCCTCCTAGCCTCTCCCCCCTTCCGAGCTATGACGCAGGCAGATAGTGGGGGGTGGAATTAGAAATATGTGCAAACTAATTAAAAAGACAGCAATTCCATTTACCCACCTTTTCAAAAAATAAAAATGGCCAAGAGACGCCTCGAATGGGGTTTAATCAGTCAGCTTACCGCATCCGTCCGGAGCGTTAGTCAAACGAATGCATCAGCAGCAATGCGGGGGTCTCTGTGCACAAACTTATCTCGCGCCCCCTTTTGGTCATGCGCGTTCATGTGTGTTGGAGGAGGGGCTCTGTGAGGAAGTGACAGACTTTCCCCGGTTTGACTGCAAATTCTCCAAATTATCTAACCCTTACCTTAAAGAACAATTCTCACACACACACACACACACACACACACACACACACACACACACACACACACACACACACACACACACACACACACACACACACACACACACACACACACACACACACACACACACACACACACACACACACACACACACACACACACACACAACCAGATGTGGGGGGTTGAGATAGCCGGGGTGTGAATGTTAATTAAGACACTCTCTGTGAGAGGAATGAAGTTAGGTGAGACTGTCTACCAGCCCCCTCCTAGCCTCTCCCCCCTTCCGGGCTATGATGCAGGCAGATAGTGGGGGGGTGGAATTAGGTAGAAATATGCGCAAATTAAATAAAAACAGCTATTAATTTTCACTCACCAAGACATCTAAAACGTTATTATCCTCTCTAGATTTGATTCAGGGTTTGTTTTAAATGGTGTGTGCTGGCTAAGGATGTTTTCTTTTCAAGTTTTTGTGAAACTGTTAAAGAAGTATCTGTTTTGCAAAGAGGTTATTTTCAAAAGATCTTATTTAGTTTTTTAATAGTGATACCTAAGGATATTCTCTTTTAGTATATGGATTTGTGAACTAATGTGTAATTACCTTTATTAACTATAAGAAAAGTCTCTCTGAAGACGGAAATAATAAAACAAATTAAAAACATGATATTGTCTTTTTAATCATTATTTTACACCACTGTAAGGAAACCCCATATGAGGTGGTAATATCAGAACTCTGCTGTATCCATAAAAGAGAAGTTTTCTAAATGTGTTTCCTATTCACTCCATGACGGCTCCAGGGTGGCTGATCAGAACAAAATAAAGGCTGTAAAAACTTAAAATACTCCATCAACAGTCTGAGGGTAAATTTAAATAGTCATTTCTGGGGGGGGGGGGAGAAAGACGCATAGCTAATTACCTGGATAAAAGGACTCATCGATTGGTCAGTTTCTTTTTGAGGGGGGGCAAGGCTCTGTTATTTGATGGTCTATATAAGACGACAAAATATTTACAGTTAGAGAAAAACAAGGGATGAATTACCCTGCCATTCCAGCTCAGCGCTTTATTGACCTGGACGCCATCACAAGCCAATGTGGTAAGTACTTATTTTATAAAGTCATGTATTTATTAAATGTTGTTTATATATATATATATATATAGTATATTATTAGATACTTAAAAAACATTATGTCCTTCTGTTTGCAGTAGAGATCCTGTGTGCTGGAAATCCTAATGTGTTATTGAAATACTAGGTGAGTTTCTTTTTACTTCTTTTTAAACATGTTTTTAAAACATGTTTTTAATTAGAAAAGTATAGAGCAATATGGTGTGGATTATAATCAAATCTTTCTGTGTCTCTCAGCTCAGGATACTCTGAGTCAGCTAAGGCCAATAGTATTGGAACGAATATGCTCTGTACTTGGAGCCTACCTTAATTCACCCGCTGTGGAAAGTGAGTATATTTAAACTGATTGTATTTTTATTTTGAAATCAAAGAAGGTTTTTATGTGCAAAGTATCCCAAATAACGTTTTTTTACTCTTTTGTTTTTAAAGGTGACAAAGTCTATAGCACAGACAGAGGCTCTGTGTAACAAAACTTTTCCCCCGTGGAGTTCAGATACAACCCACCCTTAGATAGTGCTTTAGAATGGGTATTGGCATACTATCAAAGCGCTGACACTTACCCAGGTCTCGGGCTTTTAAATCAGCTCGCAGACGGAGTAAGCCATCTGAATGGCGTAAATAGCATAGCTTCAACCATTACAGAAGCACCAGTTTCCAGCGTGCAAAGTGGTGAACACGTTAGTGACTCAGAATCACTAGTTTGCTCCATGCAAAGTAGCGGACATGTTGATCAGAATGACACCCCGAATGCTGCTGAATCACCGGGCCCCCTGTCACAGCATGGAGGAGGCACTAACCGAAATGCTACACCAAGTGTATTATCTCGACCTGTATTCCATAACACATAACTGCGTCAGTCTCTAATCCTACCCCCTCATAATAACGACGAAGCAGACTTTACATCCTATTATGGGGTTCTGATGAACAATGTACAGGATATGGTAAATTATGCTTTTTCACAGGCAGAGAGGGAAGATATTGTTCAGATTGAACTCCGGGGAGAGCAGCTTCAAGCTAATGTGTCCGCCATTTTGAATGCTAATGATGATAATAAGCTTTGGGATTTGAAGATAAAATCAAGGGATACTTCCCACACAGTTTCAGCTCTAAGGCTTATCTGAATTATATCGGACCTTACCCTCCAGCACACTGTTATGGGATTGAACGCATGACAACTGATGAAAAAAGTTACTTTTTCACCTGGTATGAGACGGTACGCACGGGTACTTTTGACTTTCGAAAGCAGGCACAGCTTTACTGTAAAAACGATGTGGACATTCTTGCCCAGGGAGCCACTCTATTTCGGAAAGGGTTTCTCGCAGAGACAGGAGTTGATCCTTTTAGTCGTGCGACCATAGCTTCTGCGTGTATGAAAGTTTTTACCACCAACTTTCTATCACCCAAAACCCTAGCAATTCACCCACCCGATGACTATAGCTATGAAAACAAGACGTACTCTGACGCAGGTGTTCAGTGGCTAGAATGGATAGCCCAAACAGAAGGTGTATTTATTCAACATGCGTTGAACGAAGGAGAAAAATGAGTGGGACGTTTTGTCGTGGATGGTTTCGCCGAAGTAGCCGGGGGCAAGATTGTCTGGGAATTTCTTGGTTGCTTCTATCACGGGTGTCCATCTTGTTACAAGGGCCATGAGAAAAACCCCTTGACAGGTGGCACATTTGAGCAGCTCCATGCTGCTAGTGAGGAAAAGCTGCATGAGCTACAGTCTATTCACGGGGCCAAAGTGATCGTTATGCGTGAGCATACATGGGTTGAGATGAAAAAATCCAACCAAGATTTACAGGCTTTCCTCAGGGAATACAAAGCGCCAGAGCTGTTGACCCCCCGCGATGCTCTATACGGAGGGAGGACATGTGCTGTAAAGCTGAGGCACAGGACAGCGGCAGATGAATTGGTTCATTATTGTGACTTCACCTCACTCTACCCTTTTGTAAACTGCACAGGCCTATATCCACTTGGACACCCTCAGATCATATTCCGAGATTTCAAAGACCCTCGCAGTTATTTCGGGTTAATCAAAGCCACAGTAGAACCTCCTAGGGGTCTTTACTTTCCTGTCCTGCCCTACCGAACTGCAGCTGGTAAACTGGTGTTCACTCTATGCCGCACATGCGCTGAGCTTAACAACCAACAGGGGCCCTGCATGCACAGCAAAGAGGAAAGAGCATTAACAGGAGTTTGGGTGACCACAGAATTCACCAAAGCCCTGGACATGGGCTACAACCTGACTCAGATCACAGAGGTGTGGCATTTTGAGAAGAAAAGTGACACTATTTTTGTAGACTATATACACACATTTTTGAAGGGTAAACAAGAAGCATCAGGCTACCCTTCAGAGGCCACAGATGATGAGAGCAGACAAAAGTATGTGGCAGACTATCATGCTAAGCAGGGCATCTTGTTGGATGCAGATAAAATCAAATCAAATCCAGCCAAAAGACAAGTGGCAAAACTATGTCTCAACAGTTTCTGGGGTAAATTTGCCCAGAGAAGCAATCTGACTCAGACTAAGATTGTGACCAAAACAGAAGAATTTCTTAACCTCTTGTTTTCAGCTAAACATAAGGATAAGTATTTCTCATTCCTCAACGACAGAACGGCTCTTGTTCAGTGGTGCTACGGTGAAAAATGCTACTCTCCTCCCAACAAGGTAGATAACATATTCATTGCAGCATTTACCACTGCGTATGCCAGGCTGAAACTGTACAGTGAATTGGAGAAATTACAGCACAGAGTCTTCTACTATGACACAGACAGTATCATATATGTGACGAGACCGGGTGAGACTCCACTGCCCATGGGGGTTTATCTAGGGGATCTGACAGACGAACTGGGGGGCGACACAATTGCAGAGTTTGTTTCAGCAGGCCCTAAAAGTTATGCCTATCAGACCAAAAATCAGAAAAAGGTGGTGATGCGTGTGAAAGGCATTACACAAACGCACGAATGTTGTGAATGAGTGAACTTTGACAGTCTGACAGATCTGGTGGAAGGCTACGTTCAAAACTCTGAGAGGGGGAGGTGTCTTCAGGCCCCACAACACAACATTGCACGGAATAAAAAGGGCTTCGTTTTGAGAAATGTGTCATTCACCAAAAAGTTCCGAGTTGTATTTGATAAGAGACGTCTGATAGACGGAGGAAAAACTTTGCCTTTTGGGTATTGAGACAAAATGTTTTCACCCCGTCAAATTGATTTTGAGCCCCGACTACGAGTTCCTTTTTCTTGTTTAGTCGTGGGCCCCAGTGGGTGCGGAAAAACTTTTTTTGTCAAGAATGTATTGCAAAATTGTATTCATGTAATGGATGTACAGCCTCAAAATATTGTGTGGATTTATACTTCTTTCCAGCCCATGTATGCTGAACTGCAGGAAAAGAATACAAATATAAAGTTCATCAAAGATTTGCCTGAATCATTTCAAGATGAATCTCTATTTCCTCCTGATCAAAGTCATTTGATTATATTGGACGATGTTATATTTCAGGCCTCGGAGCATCCTGAAGTAGTCAGACTTTTCACCCAATACCGTCATCACAGAAATATGAGTGTTATCATGCTTACCCAAAATGTTTTTCATCAGGGGAAAAACAGTCGAAAAACAGTCTCGTCATCACCCGAAGATTCCCGACGATTCCCGAAGTATTTCGTTTCATTGAGAGGGCGCAGTAAAATTGAAAATAAAATGAAACTAGGCGCATGAAATTTTAAAAAATGGTTTATTATGCTTATTTTTAATAAAAATACATAAATTAAACCCAAAATTCGCGGATTTCCACTATCCCTTTAAAGGGTAACATTCCACTATCAGGCGCTCAGTATAAGAAGCTCAAGAAACAAAAGAACATTTTCAAACTCTTGGCCGATAAAAAGACCAACTTAAAAACTAAATTCACGGCCTTAAGAAAACAATCTGGAGGTTTTCTTTTACCGCTGCTTGGTGCTGTGATCCCCATATTAGGACAACTTTTAGGAGGGCTCACTCGATCATGAGTCAAAAGATGTTTTTGTTATCACCTCACCAGTTTAATCAGCTCAATCAGACTGGTGTAACTACCCCCCATAGTAAGGAAACAATGAGAAGCACTGCCGAAGATGTTCTGGATGAAAAAATGAGAGCAGTGTTAAACGATACAGGATTAGCCCCTTATGAAAAAATAAGAAAATACAACACCTTGCTACAGAGATATCTCACCTTACTCAAACAAGACGGGAAAGAGGAACGCCATATTACTTTAACTCTACCCGAAGACAGCGGGTTGGTAAAAGGAGAAGAAAAGGATGGCGCGTCCGATGATAAAATATAGAATGAGGTACTTCATAATATTCCTGCGCGCAGCCGTAAGAATGCCGAGTACATTATGAGTAAATTAATCACTAGTACAGCTGGATGGACACCCGCGGGGGAATTTGTAGAAAAAGGGACAGCTGTAAAAGGATCACACATGTTAGATTTATTTAAACATTTATCCTGTTCGTATAAATCAAATGCCCGGGAACCTAAAGGCTGGCGGGGTTTTTTAAATAGTCTGAATGAGCTCAACATTCCTTTATCAGCTTTTCAAAACCTGCACGCTCGTGAACAATATCGTATAATCAAAGAGGGCGAGCCAAATGGAGAAAATATACCCCAAAAAAGAAGAAGAAGAAGGATTACTCAATCATCTCCTACAACCCCCCGATGGGGGGTGGCAGGGGGGCCAGACACCACAGAGGGGGGAGAACCTCTGAGTGCCCTGTTTAAGAAGAAAAGGATAAGGCAAGACAGAATATTAAGCCCAAGATGGCTACATTTAACCCCTTAAAGTTGTATTATATATTTTATTCTCCTAATAAAAGACAGAGTCACCTGAATTAATTTTGTCTTCAGACCTTTTTTATTTCTACATTTTATAACAATCTTTAAACATTTGTAGAGAACAAACACTGTGATTAAAATGAGTGTCTTTATGACGTCTCTCACACCTTTGGTATTTTTTCACAAAATTCGTTACAGCAGTATCATTTTTTACCACATCATCGTGATACAGAGATAGCACATTTTCGTAAGACAACCCGGACGCTCTTTTGCATAGATAAAAAACACAGTGTTGACCACAGGCTGTAGACATGACATTCTGAAGTTGCCGGTTATGGTATAAAATAGTGTCACACTGTGTTTCTAGAAATTGCAGGATGCTTTTCGGATAATGACTAAAATCGGGGGGAAATCCGAAAGAATCAAAAAAAGTTCCTTCCCCTTCCTCTAAAGTCACTGCTAGCCAGTGTTCTCCGGGCATGTGGGAGGGGTGGGTGTTTA